TACCAGCTCCCCAGCTGTGAACTGTCATACCTGCAGAAAACCTTTTCATGATCTCTCAGGGGAACAAAAAGCAAGAAAAGGATCAAGGTACAGCTTGTTTTTGAAACAATCAAGGTACAGCTTGTTTTTGAAACAATCTGCCTTGACTTAAAGAATTCAGAAGTGGACTGAATGAACAAAACCCGCCTGCTTTCCTTAGACTGATCACTATTTATGGTTCTGGACTGAAAGGATGCCCGGAGGAGATGCTGAGCAGCTGGTGGGCTCAAGCAGGACTCATAACTTGAAAGAAACAGCTTTACTAGAAGCTAGGTCTGGGTTATTGCTTAGGAGTGGGAGATTTCAAAGTTCAGGCTACTGAAGAAGTGAGAAAGCAGAGGTACATGATGAATACAGCACTGCGAGAAATAAGAGTTGTGTTAAGTTTCAGTAGTTTCTATGGCCACATACAAGTTTTACATTTTTACTGGGAGAAATGTCATCCTCCCAGTAGAAACCACAAGCGTACAAATGTTTGTGCTGTTTCTCCTGAACCAAATATGGCAGTTCCAGGAAAACAAGTGCTTGTACCACTTTCTGTGACTTAACTCCTCCTGGAGACCAGAAGGCGTGGAGCTGGGAAGAAAGGCTCCCGGGCCTTCCTGAGACCATGGTCATCCAGGACTGGATACAGTTCGGGGCAGAGCAGCTGCTCCTGCCCCTCCCATAAACCGGCAGGGGAGGAAAGGACCAACTACCAGCTGCTCCTGGCTGGCTCCTCTCACACTGGAGTCTCTGGTGTGGGAAGTGAGTGTGAGCTTTGCCACACTGCTCCATCTGCTGGGCTTTCACACTGACAAACTAATGAGCAAACTAACAAAAGGTAGTTGTCTTTCACACTGCAATTGCTTTATGGACCTCATTGCCACAGGATGTTTGAGAAGCCAACAATTTAACCAGATTCGAAAGAGGATTAGACAAATTTGTGCAGGAAAGATCCATTTGCGAGTCTCAAACATTATAGTTACAGGTATAAGATCCAAATTAGGATTTCCTAGGCCTCTAAATGGTAGAAACAATAAGGGAAGAGGGGCAGGGGACAGATTAGGTTGGGCAGGCCCTGCATATACTCTTTTCCCATAGCACCCGCTCCGTGCTCTTGTGACAGAGAATAAATGGACTAGATCTAGGAGACTGTGGTGTTGATGCCTACACAGTCAGATGGGTCACTAACTGGCTGGAGGGGTGCACCCAGAGAGTGGTGGTGGATGGGTCTTATTCAACCTGGAGAGATGTGGGCAGTGGGGTCCCCCAGGGCTCGGTCCTCGGGCCCACACTATTCAACATCTTCATCAGTGACTTGGACAAGGGGGTAAAAAGCACCCTGTTCAAATTCGCAGACGACACTAAGGTGTGGGGTGAAGTGGGCACGGTAGAAGGAAGGAACAGGCTGCAATCGGATCTAGACAGGTTACAGGGGTGGGCCGATGAGAACAGGATGGGGTTCAACGCTGACAAGTGCAGGGTAATGCACCTGGGGAGGAAAAACCAGTGGCATACCTACAGGCTGGGGAACTCCCTTCTCGTCAGGGTCGAGACAGAAAAGGATCTTGGAGTCATCATTGATGCCACAATGAACATGGGCTGACAATGTGGGGATGCGGTCAGGAAGGCCAACCGTACCTTGTCGTGCATTCACAGATACATCATGAGCAGGTCCAAGGAGGTGATCCTCCCCCTCTATGCGACACTGGTCAGGCCGCAGATGGAGTACTGCGTCCAGTTCTGGGCACCGCACTTCAGGAAGGATGTGGACAGTATGGAGAGGGTCCAGAGGAGGGCCACCCGCATGATCAGGGGGCAGCAAGGCACGGCCTACAAGGAGAGGCTGAGGGACCTGAACCTGTTCAATCTCCACAAGAGAAGGCTGAGGGGGGATCTAGTGGCCTGTTACAAACTAGTCAAGGGGGACCAGCAGGCATTGGGGGAGTCCCTGTTCCCCCGAGCACTACCAGGAGTGACAAGAAACAACGGACACAAGCTAGCAGAGGGTAGATTCAGGCTAGATATTAGGAGGCACTACTTCACTGTCAGGGTGCTAGGATCTGGAACCAACTTCCAAGAGAAGTGGTGCTGGCTCCTACTTTGGGGGTCTTTAAAAGAAGGCTGGACGAACATCTGGCTGGGGTCATTTGACCCCAGTGCTCTTTCCTGCCATGGCAGGGGGTCGGACTTCGTGACCGTCTATAAACTCACTAGGGGGGGACCAGAAGGGTTTGGGGGAGACCTTGTTTCCCCTAGCGCCCCCCGGGATAACAAGGAACAACGGCCACAAGTTGTTGGAGAGTAGGTTTAGATTAGACATCCGTAAGAACTACTTCACAGAAAAAGGCGGCTAGGATCTGGAACCAACTTCCAAGGGAAGTGGTGCTGGCTCCTACCCTGGGGGTATTTAAGAAGCGGCTCGATGCCTACCTGACTGGGGTCACTTGAGCCCAGTTTCCCTCCTGCCCAGGCAGGGGGTCGGACTTGAAGATCTACAAGGTCCCTTCCGACCCTACTTCTATGATTCTATGATCTGCTCAGGTCCCTTCCGACCCTACCAACTATGAAACTATAGATGGACCTAGTATGGCAACCTTTATGTTGTTACATACCTGCTACTGGAAAAGACTCATATCTCCTCTCCCAACGCTAGTCTCTCTGTGTGCATTTACAATAAAACACTGTCACTTTTTGCACTGTGACTAACATCATTTTCTAAGCATGCTTCACAGATGTCACCCCTATTCTAGGACTGGGAGCACCAGTTTGCAGCGATATGCTGCATCAGCTCTTCTATGGTGGTCCACTAGTTTCAGCAGAAAATAAGCATTTGTGTGAAGGAGAGCAGGCAGCATTTAATCCTAAATTAAGTACTAACTGCCACAGTATTTCAGTGGGTTAATGATGCCAGCAATTAAATAGCTCGCTGAAACTCATTTTAGCAGAAGCATAAAGCCACTCTTGAAGTGTGGGTATAATTATACTTCTCTGTAATCTGGTGTCAGGTTAATAGCCCAACTTTGTGCCAGCTAAGGACTTCTACATTTGCCATGTCCATCCTCCATGTGTTTTGGAGAAACTGTATGAAGTAATAGTCTTTCTTGCCAGAGTTCTGAGCTCCCTGCTAATTTCCACTAATGCCTTTGACAGAGCGTAGCTCAAAGAGCTCACTCATGTCTGTGGCACGAGGGGCAGATGCCTATGCTCGCACAAGATGCTGCCCAGGGAAGGAGGAGAGGCATAGTCAGGCTGCCTGACATGGCACAGGGGCCCTAGCCTGGGGGAGTGGGTGCTACAGGCATCCCTTCCTCCTCCCTCCAGCCCGCACCAGGGCCAGACTTGCTTCGCCACCACCCATGCAAGCCGCAGCCGCCACACTCTAGCCCAGTCAGGACAGGGGAAGCTGAAGGCCCCCTCCAGCAGGGCTGGGGGGAACAGGGGTGCTGAAGGTCAAGAGTGAGGGGCACTGGCAGGGCAGGGGGACTGTGGGTGGTGTGTGAGAGGCACTGGAAGAGTGGGCAGCTGTTGGCCAGGAGGGTGGGCCACTGGCAGCACCAGGGGGCTGTGGGTCAGGAATGAGGGGCACCAGCTTGGCCCAGGGAGGCGGGGGACTGTGGGTAGGGAGTGAGGTGCACTGGCAGGGCCAAGCGTCTTTGGGTCAGGAATTAGAGGCAGCAGCAGGGATGGGGGGCTGTGAGTTAGGACTGAAGAGCACCAGCATAGCCTGGTGGCGGACGGACGAGGGACTGTGGGCCAGGAATGAGGGGCAGCACCAGGGATGGGGGACTGTAGGTTGGGAGCGAGGGGCACTGGCAGTGCCAGGGGGCTGTGGGCTGGGGAGTGAGGTGTCCCCCGGACAGGTATCCTCTTTTTTGGAACTGGAAATAGGCTAACCCTAGTAAATACAGTGAAGAGAGAGAAGGTAAATAAGGACTGAAAGTTGAAGGAGAAGGATTAGAGACAGGAGGGGATGGGTTTGAGCTCAATGGTGGGAGAAACCTGTGTAGCATTGGGCCTGAATGAGAGAAAGGCAAAGAGCAAAGGCCCAAATGAAAAAAAATACAAAAAGAGAGAAGATAAAAGCCCAGAAAATAATTTTTCCTCTCTATTCAGCATTGGTGAGGTCTGTAGCTGTTCATCTTTGCATCCCACACTTTCAGAATGTAGATAACTTGGAAAGAGTCCACTGCAGAACAACAAATATGATTAGGGACCTGGGAGGCAAGACTTATAAGGAAAGGCTGAAAGCACTTGGATTATACAGGTCTAGAGAACAGATGAGTAAGGGAGAATTTGGTAACAGTTTTCAAATACCTGAAGGGCGATTATAGAGAGGATGGAGATGAGCTTTTCTCTGTGGTTAGGACTAAAAGCAATGCTCCCAAGCTTCAGCCAGGGACATTTAGGTTAGGAGGACCTTTCTGACTAGGCAGGTGGTCAAGGCTACCTAAAGAATTGTGAAATCTCCACCCTTGGAGGTTTTGAAGAGCAGGTTAGACAGACACTTGGCTGGGATGGTTTAGTCAGAGATGATCCTGCCTTTAGCAGGAGGCTGGACTAGATGAACTTAGGAAGTTCCTTCCAGCCCTACTTTCCTATGATCCTATCTATCCCATTAACAGTTTCACAAAATAGGAAAAGCTCACTTACCAGTATTAGCTATCAGGGCCTATAAAAGTTGCTTTCATTCTTGTGAATTTTTGCAAGGGATAGTAGAACAGACCTATACGGTTTTTCAAGACCACGGAAGTGTGAAATCGACTTTTTTGTTAAAATGCTTAAAATTGTGGGCCTTGAAAATATTTCAGTTCAGTTTTTAAAGGGTCTTTCAAATGAAAGTTTCCTGCGATTCATCCTTCTGCAAGTTTTCAGGAGCATTTCCATGTAGTTTGTAAGGGTTGCTTATACAAAATGCTATTTTAATTTGAAACACAAACATCTCATACTCAAAACAATGGAAAAGTTATAGTCTCAGAGAATTCAAATATTTTTATTTCTAGGATTTGCTCTTAAAATAACTTACCCCAAAATCCGAGGTAACAGAAGTTATATCAGGGGCATATCAGTTCCCCTGAAGTGTAAACATTCCTACAGACTTTGAAATGAAGTCTAGAGAGCACTAGGCTGAGTGATATGCAAGCTGATGCTATACTTGCAGGTCAGTCATTAGCTTTCTTCTCAAGGGATGGATTTCTGTTAGTTTCAGGTGGGATCTGGACAGAATGTGCTTGATCTTTTCTTGGTATTCCTGCTCTGCTGCTAGACCTGATTCATACTCTCGCTGCTTCTCTTCTTCCTCAGCATGGTGGGCCTGCTGCTGATAGGCAATTTGAGCCTGAAGCTGCTCCCGGTATTCCTTTGCCTCCTGTATTTTTCTGGAAGGAACATGACAAACATCTCAATTGTGAAGCAAAGGCAGAAAATTAATAGGAGGTTTTAGGTATCACCAATCAACATTTAGGTAAAATCACCATTTAAAATTCCCATTTGTCATTATCAGCAATTATTCTAATAAACAAACACTAGCTTTTAGTACACTGCAAAGTCCTTACCTGATAAAGCAGAATACACATCATTGCGTAATAAACAATGATCAATAAATGATCATTATTCAGTACGTGAGTTTTGTACTCCTCTGTACATGTCTCTTTCTCTGTTTGTCATTGTGCAGAAAAAATGATGGAAATATGTAACAGATACCTGAATGGCAGATTTTAGTCATTTTCTGGCTAAGTGGCATGACTGTAGCCTCCAAATACCCAATTTCAAAACCTATATTTTAAAGTGGGTTCCAGGTGTATTTCAGATATACCTAAGAAACAGCATTTCTCCTTCAGGGGAAAACAGGCCAATGAGAATCTGTTCTGATGGTGTGTGCCCGTGTGCTTCATGGGCGAGGTGTTCAATCACTCAGCAGTCTTTCGGGGGAGTTGGAGGAGTAAGTATTTGGAATAAACCAGAACATTCCAATTCCCTCGGTTAATCAACTGAAATGAACTTTCTTTACAGAAACCAGCCAAGGAAAATCAAAAACTCCACATCGGCTGGTGCTAGAATTGCTAAGAACTTTTATTACCAGAATTCTGCTTGTGGACAGGGCCAGCAAACAAATTATATCAGGTAAAATGTGCATCTGTTTATCCACTGTAAGTGATTTATGTGTGCTTTCTCTTAGAACAAGTAGAAGCTAAGCCACAATAATTTAATTACTAAGCTGTCCTAATTTAGTTTCTACATACCATGAGACAGAGCAGATACACAAAACTGTTACAAAAGATTACCTGACACTAAGGGCGTTCTATACCCATACTCCGGGGTGGAGGGGGGCGCTTTAATTAGAGAGGATCTGAGAGCCACTCTAATTAAAGCGCCCACAGCATCACATGTATTCAGCATCCTGCACTTCTAAACGGTGGCAGGGGAGCTTTAACTAAAACTCATTCAACAAGCTTTAGTTAAAGTGTCCCTGTCGCCATTTTGAAATGCGGAGATGCTGAATACACGTGAAGTGGAGGCTGCTGGAGCGTGTTAATTAGCATGCTCCAGCAGACTTGCAGCACACTCATTTAATCAAATCTGCTCCGATACGTGCTAATTAGCATGCATCAGAGCAGACCTCTGTTATGTGCATAGACACCCTAAATTCTCCTACTTTAAGTCAGGATAATTTGTCATCCCTTAAAGAACACAAAAGAGTACTCGAGGGAAAATTATTTTGGGGGGTAATCAGATTTGGTTGGCTGTTTAATACCCCTGGTAACATTACATGGCTGGAAGTAAACAGTTAATAGCCAATGAGCTGCCTTGCAGGGCACCTGCAGAGGAAAATTTGCACAGCCTATTGCTGTTTACTCTCTTTCCTAAACTGAACAATCCAATTCTGAAGAGCTGGGAGCATGAGTTCATAACAAAACTGACAACGTAAAAAAGAAATACCTGGAATATTTCTCTCCGTCAATATGATTGAGTTCTTTAATGGCTTCAGCCAGCAGCAACTTGTCCTGAGCCAGCTTTTCCTGCTGCTTTGCATTTCTCTCCACTGCAAAAAGAAAAACAAATGTTCTGCTAACCTAAAAATGAATGTAAACTTTGCTCTATATATTCTATGCTAAACAGCATGTTTGAGTCTTGCTTCTTCTGGAAAGGCAAAAACAGGGACGCTTTGTTTCCCTCTTTCTCCCCAACCATATCAATCATGGAGAAGAGGTGATTTCACTTGCAAAACATCAGAATATTCTGCAGTAAGAATATTGCTCCTGCAATCCCTATGTAATTAGGTTTTGTTCCACTGATGTCAATGAAACAACTAGTGCCAGTAAGAACTGTACAAATTAGAGAGAGTCCAGTGGAGGGCAATGAAAATGGTTTGGTGGCTGGGGGACATGATTTATGAGCAGAGGGTGAGGGAACTGGGCTTACTTAGTCTACAGAAGAGAAGACGAAGATGGGATTTAATAGTAGCCTTCAACTACCTGAAGGGGGTTCTAAAGCAGATGGAGCTGGACTGTTCTCAGTGATGGCAGATCACAAAACAAAGAGCAATGGTCCCAAGTTGCAGGAAGGGAAGTTTGGGTTAGATATTAGGAAGAATGTTCTCACTAGGAGGGCAGTAAAACACTGAAACAGGCTACCCAGAGCGGTGGGGCAAACTCCATCCTTGGATGTTTTCAAGACCTGGCTAGACAAAGCTTTGGCTGGGGTGATCTAGTTGGGGATGGTCCTGCTTTGAGCAGGGGATTGGACTAGATTGATCTCCTGAGGTCCCTTCCAACCTTCATTTTCTATGATTCTATATACTGCTTGTCTGAGTAAAGCTGCCAGGATCAGATCTAAAGACAACAGTACTGTGCCACCTCTGTTGCGACAGGAAGCATATCCAATGCAGTTGGGCCAATTGCTGCTCTCAAGGAAAGCTTGCAATGTCACCACAGATGTGCCAGGAGTCTCACAACCCAGGGCACAATTCAGCCCACAAACAACCCTGCACTCATTTTCCTTACACTTCTCCTCAATCTGCAGTCGTCTTGTATCCAGGACATCTTTCATTAGCCGTTTTCTAGCCTCCTTTTCCAGTCTCATTTGCTCAGCCTTCTTGGCCCACGTCCGCTCCATCTCTTCCTCCAGCAGCTTGTCCATCTCCTTCTCCCGACGCTTCTCCTCTTCCAGTTGTGCAGCTAGATGTTCCCGATAAATCTGCTGCTCCTTAAATAGTTCTTGCTACGAAACATGGACCGTACAGAATTTCAATAAGTTTCACACAGGCCCCAAGGGAAGTGGCTGAAGTGGTCAACTGGAAGAGGAAATATGGGCCACTGCCTCAGTGTCACTTTCTCCCTTTAGGCCACAGTTTACTCATTTTCCAATACATCTCTGTGAAATGCCTCAGGAACCAAATGAAAAGCAGCACCTACCCAATTCTCCTTTCATTAGTGCCTACTCTGAAGGGGTATATCCACTGATCTCAGCAGAATTATATAGGATTTACACTGTGAAGTTCATGACTTCTGTAGACCAAGCTCACTGCACACAAGAGACACCCCCAACAAGCTTCTTTATTTCAGGGACTTTCTGCAGCCTTCTCCACCTTTCCCCTCATGGCCCTGTGTGTTGCTCATTTCCCCTCTTCTGTATCAGCATCCCCCAGTTTTCTTTACAGACTAGGTAGGCATTATCCCATTTTACACATGGAGAAACTGAGGCATTGTGAGGGGAAGGGACACGCTCCAAGTCTTGCAGGGAGTTGCGGCAGAGCCAGGACTGGAACCCGTCTAGCGACTTTTAGCACAATACCTTATCTCTTGGCCAATTCCACCCTGCTTTGGAAGGAGAACTGCAGTCCACTTTAAAAAATACTTGCTTTAAACCCTCTGGTAAATCATTAAGAGAATACGCAGATATTCATACAAAGAGATACATTTTTCTAACTCAACATTTCAAAATTGCTTTCTTTTTGAATTACACACCATGATCCAAGGGCAGGACACTGGCCTTTTCTCCCCTGCAGCCCATAACTTTGCTAGTCCTGTCTACACCAGGGAAACATCGCAAAACTTTCTGGCTGTTACTAACACCACTTCGGCTTCACCAGTGTTAGGAACTTGGGGAGCCACTAGTGCTTAGGACCACTGTCATCTAACCTTGTCCTGAGCAGGCATGGCTTACATGATGCTTCAAATGCCAGTGGCAACGCAGCATCCATGTCTTGGCTAGGATTCACACTGTTGCCCAACCCCAGTGGTTGAACCACCACTGAGCATGAGGCGAATATTTGCAGAATTTTCCTAAAAAACACAACATTATAGATGCTTAAAAATAGAGAGAGCCCTACTCCCAGGACTGAGTATGCATTTTACAGTAGGAGGTTGCTGGTTAAAAACAGAGCTAATCACAGGACCACAGTCATCCCCACCGCCCCAAGGAGTGCCAGACCTAAAATAAGTTTCCTCCTGTTTGCTCTGCTTTTGGCCCCACAGCTCTTGCACTTTTGACTGCTCAGGGGTCCAGGTTCAACAGGAGGGGTAGAAGGTGGCCCCAGAAAGCCTATTCTATAGCTTGGTGCTTACGGTACTCTCCTCTGAAGGGTAAGATGCGTTTCTGATTCTTTCAGGATGAGGACAGCCCAGAACTCAGGTCTCCTACTTCCCAGGTGAAAACTCTAATCCAGGGGCTGGCAATATACGGCCTGTGGGTCAGATCCGGCCTACAGAGCAATCTGATCTGGCCCAGGGAGCTGGAAGGGCTTTAGCAGCATTCTGGTGAAGTGGGGCTTCAGCAGTATTGCAGCAACAGGGGACTTTGCCCATTCCAGGCTGGGCGGTGGAGGACTTTGCCCATGCTACAGCTGTGATGACAGGAAGATGCAGCAACAGGGAGAAATGATGGCAGTGGCTGGGTCCTAGCACCTGCCTGCCTTGGACCCAAGCAGGGCATTGCAGCTTGCTGCTCAAAAATATTGCTGACTGCTGGGGAATGCCTATACAGTAGGGGCACCTATATGCAAGCAGAGAGGCTACTCCAATGCACTGTAATTACAGCATGTCAGAGCAGGCTTGAGTAATCAAGTGCGCTGGACCGTGGTAATTTCTGTGCTCCAGCAGACTGCAGCATCTCATGTATCAGCAACACACCTAAAAATGGCAGCAGGGGCGCTTTAACTAAAGCTCATTCAACAAGCTTTAGTTAAAGTGCCCTGCTGCCATTTTTAAGTGCAGGAAGGCTGATACATAAGACGCTCTGGGCACTTTAATTAAGTGGCTCTGAGAGCAGCTCTAATTAAAGCACCCCCCCCCCCCCCCCCCCCCCCCCCCCCCCCAAACTCCTGGAGCATGTGTATAAATGCCCTAAAGTTTTGGCAAAGAGTGGGCACTGACACCACTGCCCCTACCACCACAGTGTGAGTTAGACATGCTCCAAGCATGCCTATCAGACTGAGTCTCTCCAGGGGCTTAGGTACGTCCTAGCACTAAACTGGACATATCAGAATTTAGGCATATAAGCCAAACTGGATCACTTCAGGGCATGCCAAGAAAAAATGTAGCTTCATAGGTGACTTTTCAGATCAGACATTGTCCCACAACTTTAGAAACAAAAAATTATTTTTATGCTTACTTTTTTTTTCTTTTTTCCTTCAGTGTCTTCCTGGGATTCTTGGAGAACTTGTTCTAAAATCTTCATGTCAAGAGCAAGTTCTTCTTGTTTTTCTCGATTAAGACGCTTCATCTTCTCTCGTATGGAACTGACCAACATGTCTCTGCATTCCTTCTGTTTTTGCAATTTTTCCAACTGAAGTCGCTCATTCTCTAGCTTAAGCAGCTGCTTTTCTTCCTCCTACAGCAACAGCAATAACCAACATGCAAGATCACTGTATAACTTAAAAGAAAATAATGGCTGGGTTAGGTGCACCAATAGAGATTTTTTCGGCCAATACTGATGGCCAATTTTTAAGGAGCCTTATCAGCCAATACTGATCCAACTGCCGATACGCAGCCCAGCAGTGTGGAGAACAGTGTTGGGCTGGTAAGTCTGTTGCAGGGGAAGGGGCATGGGGGTGGGGTGGGCAGACCAAGGTCCCCACAGTGAGGGCTGGAGCTAGGGCTGGGGCAGGTGTTGCACACGGGATGGAGTCACGGCTCATCTGGGGGTCGCACAGGGAGGTTGGGGGGCAGTTCCTGCTGCTGCATGCATACCGGGAGGGCATGGGGGCGTGTGCCCTTGAATCTGTGTGTGGGTTGAGGGCAGGCTACTGCTATGGGCTGGGGCTGGGTCTGGAGCAGCACTGAGCTCTTCCCAGCGGGGGGCTGGGCTGGGCTGTGTTCGGAGCAGGTGACAGTGGCACTGGAAGTGGAGCTACAGGGGGGCCCAAAACTCACTATAGCCCCTTCCAGCACCCCCGCCACCTGCCCTGAGTGCAGCTGGGCCCATCACCCCACTGGGAAGAGCCACGTGCTGCCCCCAGCTCCAGTCCACAGCAGCAGCCCGCCCTTGCTCCAGGCACAGATTCCATGCCCTCCTGGGGTGTGTGTAGCAATAGGAGCTGTGACTCCCTCCCTGCAACCCCTAGATGAGCCACTCATGGCTCCATCCCATGCCCCGCTCCACCCCAGCTGGGCAGCGCCTGCCCCTTCCCCAGCCCTACTCCTTCCTTCCCTCCCTCACCATGGGGACTGAATTGGTCACATTGGTCTGCTCCACCAATGTGACCAATCCCTCCCCCCACCCCATCCCCCACAACAAACTTACCTGCCCCACGCTGCTGAGCTGCAGTCCTGGCTGCCTGTGTGCTACACATGCACAGGGCATTTATCGGCAACATTATCAGCCACATTGGCGTAAAAAAGCTGATTGCTGATGCTGTCAATTTTCCTTATATCGGTGCTGATCCAATATGGGACCAATGTATCAGTGCACCTCTAGCTGAGATTAGTTTAATTGGAAAATATAAGAGGGAAGATAAGTACTGAAGACTTTGCTTGCTGACATTAAAGGATTCCAGAGTTAATAGCATCATTTTTACAATTATCAAAACATGAACACTGCAGTATATTTTTTAATTGAATCCCAGGTTTTTCTCTTTAATTATGACATGCACTTCAGTGCCAAGATGCTGGAGTAACTGGCTCTCTCAGTATTTATGACAGAGATACATTCATCTGTTTTGTGCAAATGTGAGCAGCAGCTTAAGACCTGCATCCAAAGACTTTCAAATTTTTACAGAAAAGGATATTTGTGCAATAAATATTAACTATAGCCACTGCAAAAAATGGAGCCAAGCTTACTTTCTGTTACATCCAAGTACAACCAGAGCATCTTCACTAGAGACTGCAGCAGTTCCACAGGAGTTGTTCAAAAAGTAATAGCATATCTCCCATGCCCATCTGCACATATCACTCCTGGTTTGGCATGTGCAACTGCCAGTTACAACTATTTAAGAATATGGCATTTGGGATGATCTGCCTTAATTCTCAGAGAGCAGATGTGTAGATAGTAAAACTCTGGGATTTCAAAAGAGACAATGAAACCAGACTGTATTCCTACCTAGGCATATAACCAAACTCACACATGAAAAACCAAGACTAAGTGACAGCCTAAGTAACAATTCCTGTAGGTACTGCAGGCATTTGAAATAGATTATAAATTCACTTAGCACCCAGAGACAGTAAATACAGATTACATCGGGGTGGACAATTGTTTTGGCTTTAGGAATTTTAGTGAGCTGTTGCAGGGCAGAGGGGGAGGGAGGAGAGGAGTGCTAACCAGATATGATGGAGGGAGGCAATTAATCCTATCTGGCCTGAGCCCATCCATCCTGCACCTGCCACCAGGGGCACCGGATGGAGCAGGCGGGCAGGTTCTCCATGGAGACCAGCCTGGGACCCCTGCGGGTAGGGTGGGCTTGGCCAGGCAGAAGGGATGGGGCTACATATGGGCAGGGAGCAGTGGCCAGGAACAGGATTGGCAGGTGGGTGGGGCCAGGGCCAGAATCACAGGGCAATGACAATGTAGGTCTGGGGTCAAGCTGTGACTCCCAACATGTGGGGAGCGGCTCCTGACATGCTCCCAACATGCAGAAAGTGGCTCCCTACATGCAGGGAGAAAATCGCAGCTGTGTCCCAGCTCTGACCCCATGCTGTCAACACCCCCCACAACGATGATCCTGGCCTCAGCCCTGGCTCCAGCCCCAGCCCCTCCTGCTCATCCCACTCCTGGATGCTGCTGAGAGCGAATTGTGGCTCTGCCCCGGCCCTGGCCTTGCACTGTCAGTACCCCACAATTCCAGCCCTGACTGCCTGTCCTGCTTCTGCGCACAGCTCCCTGCCCGCCTGCAGCCCCATCCCATCCACCTGGCCAAGTGTGCCCTGACCATGCAGGTCCCAGGCCCCCCACAGAGACCCTGCCTGACCACCTGCTCCCTCTGATGTCCCTGGCAGTGTGTGTGGGGCAGATGGGCTGGGGTGCCCAGGCAGTAGGGCCAGGTCCGCTGGGAGCGAAGACACTAGCAACAGCAGCTGGAAGAAGCCGCCGGCTGTGGGGGGAGCCGGGCAGTGGAGTCTGGCTGCCACACCACCCCCACCTTGCCGTGTGCATGGGGATAGCAAAACGGGCTGCACGCACCATGGCCTGGGCTGCCCCCTGCGCGTAGGCTGGGTGGGGCCAAGAGACTCGCCATGGGCCAGATAGAATCCTTTGGTGGGCCGCATCCAGCCCACAGACTGTATTTTGCCCACCACTGTTCTGCCTCATCTTCCATACAGCCAGGAGGACAAAGGACAGATTGTAAAGACAACCCTTTTAGGACAATGGCCAAGTGACGCAAGCTTGTGCGAACGCAACTGTGCAACAAGGACTTTTACGATGTCAGGATATATGCCCATGCTTACTGTGGCAATGAACCAGTGACAGAGAAGGAAACTGTGCTGAAAAATAGCAGTTTCTGTGCGTTTAGCAATATGTACAATGTTTTTGTCCAACTTAAATATATTTCCAATAATATTTGCCTAAGGAAAAAAAACCCGGGAAGGAATTACTTTATGACTGACCCTTATAGATACCATGCTGGATATAAACCAGTCCCAGAGCCTCAGTTGTGTTTCAAAGTTACTGTTGACACTATACACTCCAGGGCAGGGACAGATTCTTTGCATCTGAACTCTACATCATATTTGGGCCACTCCATAAGTAACCACGATGTTGACCAGTAAAGCAGGAGGAAAGAATGGTGGAGAGTGATGGCAAACTGACGATCTGCACAGGTACTAGAATATCTGCTGACTTCAAGTGAGTTGCATGAGCGCATCTAAGGGTGAAGTTTGATCCAGTGTTTGCACAGTTGTTGTAAAGAGACACTGTGAATGTGGGGAGAAACGGACCTTAATAAACTTATTGCAAGGCAGGACTGAAGGGCAATGGCAGAGATGTGTATGAGAACTTGTACAGTTCTTATGTGACTAGAACCATCAACACTGTGATCCCTATCACCTTCACCAGCAAAGCACTAATATTTAGAAAGGAGAAAAAGAGAAAGGAGAAAGAAAACAATGCAGATAAAAAATGACCAATGCAAAAATAACCAGTGATTTCCCACTGATTCCCATTTTGGTTGTCCAGTCTGAGACACACTAAGAAGCTTCAACATATCTCAAATTCTCCTGCTAAAGGAAATTCATCTAGAGGACCTAAAACATAACTATGTGCTCAATACTGAAAACATGACATGAGCATGTATTTTTATGTTTGCAGTACTAGGGTTGGGTATTTGACCAGTCAAAAATATCTTGGGCAACTGACCGGTCAAAATTGTCAAATAACAGTCAAATATTTTAAGTATTATTTTATTAAAACAGTGGAGAGGGGGAGAGAGAGAGAGAGATTTTAATCCTCAGTAGGTTAGACACTTACACCAATTACAAAAAAGTTAGTTAACTGTTATTGTAAAACAGTAAAAGTCATTTATAAAAAAAGTAATGACTTCGTATAATTATCAGTGTCAGTTAAGTATAATATGAACCATTCAGTCTTGAATTAGGGATGCAAATACTGATTAACTAAGTACCAGTTTAAATTCCCCTAATGTTACTGGTTAAGTTCATTAACCAATAAGACCTTATCTTCCAGGGACCGGCCCCTGCTTGTACTCCCTTGTTCTCTGGGTGGCAACAGCAAGCTGGGAAAGCCCCTCACCTGCTGTTGCCTGTGGCTTTATGGAGCTATGGCAGAGCTCGCTGCTGCTGCCCGCAGCCAGTCCCGATCCCGGGGCAGCTGTCCACCAGCGGTAGCAGTGGGCTGGGGAAAGCCTCTTGCCTGCTGCAGCCACCAGTGGATAGCTGCCTGGAGGCCAGGGCTGCAAGTGGCTGCACCAGGGTCCGTGCAGCCCCAGCCCAGCTCACTGGCAGCTGGTGCGCACACATCTCAGGGAGCATAGCTGGGAAGGGGCCGGAGCTGCTCTGCACAAGAAGGATTGGGCCTCTCAAGACTTCCCTGCTGTACCAGGTACTAGTGCCCTCTTCCCCTCCCTCCTGACTGTCCTGCCATCTTCGGGGGCACTGCACCACTTCCTTCCCCAACTTCCCTACCCTAAATGATAACCAGTAAGATATTACCAATTATCAATATGTAAACAGTTAAACATTTAAATGTTTAACCATTCACATCCCTATCTTGAATATCATCCTTCTTTTGCTTGGCTTTTATCCCAAATCCCCAGGGTCAAGCCCAAAAAGTTACAAAATAAGAAAAAGAAATTAAACAGAAAAAAAACACACAAAGCAACTACAAGAGACCAAAGTCAGTTTTTGAAATGCAGCTATGGTAGCTGGTAGATATGGTAAGTGGTAGGCGGGCAGGAGGCCAACTCTTCAAGCATCTTTCTGCTTGCATTTGGAGGTGCCTGCAGTGACAGCAGACAGCCAATAGAAGCTTTTCTATGCTGCTGGTTTGGCTTTTCCCTCAGCACAGAGTGGCTCCTGCAGCCACGGGTAGCTTAATGCAGAGAAGGGAAAAGAGGTTGAAAAAGCTCAGGAGAAAAGAGCAGGGCAAGGACTGTCTGCTCCTAAATGGAGCGCGAGTGTGTGTATCTGTATCCTGACTCTTGCAGGACTGTGTTGGGCAAGGAGCCTTTACTTCTGCCCTTCTATGATGTACCACATTGCATGGCATATCGGTCAATGCAGTGCATAAGTCAACCTTGTTTTTCTGATCCAAAAAGTTAGGAATTTTGTAGATCCAGTGTATAGGGGACAGTGATATAGTGTATAAGTTGAGGTTGAATTTTAAGAGTTAAAAATTTGGCGTCAAACCTCGACTTATGCACTGTGAAATATGGTACTAGAAAAGGTAAGCAACCATCTCCCCAAGGACATTCTTGGCTTCATGAAATATTTGACAATTTTTGACTGTGGCCAAACAATAGGTGGTCAACTGACCAGTCAACTGACATTATTTGACCACTCAATTGATCAACTTGCCATCCCAAAGCAGTACCGTATTTTGAGGAGGGTGAAAAATGAAATGATAGAATCATGTGTTAGCAATCAGTGGAAAACAGCAGCTGAGTTCTCAGCTGCAGGGAGCAGCATTCACAGGGAACAACGAACTCAGAAAACCTAGAGAAAAAAACGCAAAATGCACAGACATATAGCTGATAAGACCAGAAGGAACCACTGACTCTGACCACAACAGGATATGCAGGATGCCAGAAAAATTATTTGACAAAATAAATGAGAGAAAGGGAATAAGTATCAAGGGCTGGACAGGTGCATAAGGAGTGCGTTAGGAAATAGGTATCTGGTAATAACATTCTCCAAAGCCTGATGGCAATGCCAAGAGCCAGGCTTATTTCCATCACTCCCAAACCAGCAAGTAAAAGATCTGTCCAGGCTTTTCTGCCAAACTCATCTGAATGCCTGAGCTCAAAAACAACAATGCTTGTTACCTTTGGGCAAGAGCAGCCAAAGCTGCACCAATCACCCCAACTGATGGATCCCAGTGGCATGCCAATGCGCAGCACTCTCCCTTTGGGATCCCCCACGCAGGTATTTCAGGTGAATTAAATTTGACTACACTGTCTCAGGTGTCCAAAGACTATACACTGTTTGCATACATCTCTGGCCTACCAAAAGAGGCCAGTGATACTGGGCAGAGCAACACACTGGTAACAATGTTGGAACAGCTACTATGTTGTATTTTATATCACTTTTGGCTCTCATCTGATTTCCTAATCCTGATCTCACTTGATGCCTATGAATGACAAAAAACTGAGCAGCAGCAGCAGCTACGACAAGAACAGATTTCCATCTATGTTGAATAATCCTTACAATGCAATAGATCCCTTGTAAGAGCCTGTAGCATATCACAGCAACAGTATGGAACCGTTTTTTGTATACCACAGCTTTGCAGCAAGTAGAAGCTGAGGCAGCACAGTGCCTAAGTGCCATTTCTACTGCAAGTACAGCCATCCTGCATTAGTGCTGCAGCATGGACAGGGTCTAACACAGCAAAGATGGAACTATTTCCCTTCACTCAAACACTCGCTTCCACTGTGACAGCTAGTGGAAATCTGCCCTGGTATCTGTTTCTCACAAATACAACATATGCATTTTTGAAAGTGAAAGGAATTATTTCATATAAGCAGCAAAATTATCTTCAAGCCAATAAACACCAGGATAACTGTGTGTACAGAGAACAAGTTGGAAAAATCTGTGCTCTTCTACTAACCCTCACACAGATTTTTAACCAGACAAGGTTACATGGACATACTTTGCTGTCCATTGCTTGCCTGACCCAAATGTTCTTGTAATCAGTAGAGGGAGGTTTTAGACACAGCATTGAGATATTTAATGTTGCCATCTGCCACATGCCATCTTTCACTGCAAAGGGATTATCATGTATTTTCAATGCAGAAGCTACACTCCAGAGATTGAGACAGAGACTTCTTCAGAGCTTAACCATTCCTGGAACTTGCTCTCTCCTGACAGAGCCCAAGGAAACTGACTTTCAGGAAAGCCTTGTATTTTATACTAATTCTGTTCTGGAGGAATCACTGCAGAAGCAGTTTTCATCTGGGTGGGCTGGGACAACGACATTGGTAACACATGACAACAGTGCCCATATTGCTGACCACAAAATACAGCCAAGTAAATTTGTTCAATCAAGTACCCATTTTGTGTGCACCAGTTTGTTGTGTGTGCACACTTTTTTCCTTGTACCCATGTTCACTTATTTTGTAGATATGACTTATGGACTGTGGTGTGAAATCCAGTCCTGGGCATTAAAAGTGGGAACAGACAAAGTTGCAGACATTCCAGAGCGTCCTGAAGTTTGGGGAAACTGCTGAAACTTCTACAAACTTTTCTAAAAATTAAGAACTTTTCAATTTCCCTGCAAAGATCCACAAGGTTTCCATTTTTTAAAACCCTGATACTGTAAGAAGTTTCAAATGATAGTTACCTCTCTGTAAACAAAAATATATTTGCTACGTTTGGAAAGCAGGCTAGCATTTGGAGTATATCTAATGGGGAATGGGAATCGGTGAAGATGCAAGTAAGGTGCAAAGTAATTTAAATACTGTGTTTTCTCATTTACAACGTTCATCTTAGCCCCTAAAATTAGCCCACCAAAATTAAGTTGTGTGTATTAAATGGGGAAGCTGATTTTCTAACCAATTTAGAAGCACCCTGCTTTCATTCCAGCTCCACAGTGCAGCAGCTATTATATTACTGTTCAGGCATCTGGGAGAATAATTTGACCTAATGGCTCATTGTTCTTTACTCTAGAGGTGTTAATAATTGTCTCTCCTTTTTAATGGCCTTGATGTTAAACTAATCAAGCTAACCTCTCTTAAGGCCATTTTTCTGTCTACTAGATGCTCCTGGTCTTTCTCCTTTGGGGATACTTTAGCTCTGTTCAAAACCATAGATCTACCCATGGAGACCAGTATTCAGCAGCAGCCAGGGCTTCAGCTTTAGTTAAACAGAAAAGGGAGGGTGAGTGAATTGAAGATTAGGTAATGCCCCTGTTTTGTGCAGCCATAACTCTGGAATTTTTTTTCCTTATTCTGCCTTTCAAAATCAAGGTGTGTATTGTATTATATTCCAAGACTTGTTGTATGAGAGAAAATACAGTATTTGTGGAAGGTGAATATTTAATCGTGAAAACCTTTCAAGTAGCCCTGCATTGACAATGAAGACAGTTACCAGTAATCGTGCCTCCTCTTCTTTCAGTCGCTTAGCCGCCTCCTTCTGAGCATTCAGAACAGATACCTGGGCATTAAGCACATTCAGCCTTTCTTGATTCTGTTCAGCTTGTTTCTGGATATCTACTGCCTCTCGTTTTTCCTTGGCCAACCTGTCCTCTTCCCAGAGATCTGCAAACATCTGTTCCTCCTTCTTCTCTTGGTTTTTCAACTCCTCCTTAAGTGCTAGCTGGGCCAGCCGGTCTGCACACACCTCCTTCTGATGCCTTTGACTCCAGTGTAAACGAAACTCCTCACATTGTTCTCTGACAGGTACATAAAAATAAAAGTCATAAGAAACAGGCAAGCCAGTTGGGTGACTTGTTCTGCACAGAGGGCCATGTTCTTGTGATCTAAACACTGGACTGGAACTCAGGAATCACTGATTTTGAAACCTGGCTCAGATACTAATTCTCTGTAGGACCTGTGGAAGTCACCCAAGGCCATATCAAATCATTTTTGTTGGCTCTTCCATCTAGGTCCTTTACACTCATAAGTTAGATATCTTAACCCAGGGGTATAGACACTTTACTTTAGGTAGATGTTGGTTAGAAAACAGAAGCAACTATCACAGCAGGGACCATAACACTAGCTTTCCCCCTTCAGAGAGTGCTGTCATCTCTAAACCACACAGTCAGGCTCTGCCTTGCTTGTTCTCACATTTTCTGCACTCTTGGCTGCTTGGTGGCCTATCTTCAATTCTATAGCCTAGTGGCACTCCCCTGGGAAATGGGAAAAGTGGGTTTGCGTTCATCATGATGAACTGGATTTAGAACCCAGGCCTCCCATTTCTTAAGTTACCAGCACTCTATTACACAAATGGTGGGCCCCATCGCCAGTGTTTAAGAATGAAAGCCACTGTCAGAGCTACATTTTACACTGAAATTAATGCTGCTGTCAGGGTCAGCCAGACATTAGGAGGCTATAGTGATACCTAAGGAATGGAGTGGAGTTTAAGCAGCTCCCAGCTCTGATGTGGATCATAACAGAGTTTAGCTGGAACTGAGGTGGATCACTTCAGCACATGTGCAGAGAAGCCTCAGTTGTAGGGATCTTTTCAAACCAAGATGGAGGCACTGAATTCTTGTAGGAATTTCAATAGTTTTGCAGTTGCTGGAAAAGGGTCTATCTGGATTGGTTTTAGTAACTCAGGAACTTAGTAAATATCACCTAACTCCTGTTAACACACCTATGAGAATAACGGGTCCAGCCCTAAAGGCCTGATCCTGATCCACTAAAATCAATGAGAATTTTGATATTGACTGCGAAGGGTGCTGTGGCAGGACTTTACTCTCCAGCTGAAAAACAGAGATATTTAGTCCAATATTTTATATATTATGTATATTTGGATTCCCTGTCAGGCCAGGCCTCTCTTGGTCAGCTATCGAGTACATGTAAATCAGTACAGCCTGTTCAATAGCTGGGCTGCCAGTGATTACACAGGTGCCCCCCACCTGGGCTAGCTGAGTGAGGAGGGTGTATGGACACCCAGCAGGACTAAAAACAAGACCTGTCAAAGGGCAGGTGAGCTCCCTGTGAGCCTATGGCCATCCAGATCTGGAGAGGAGATAGGCGCCGCCAGGTCACTTTGCCCAAAAATCACCAATGATGCACAGCATCTAAGGTGCCTCAATGGTCACAGCAGCCTCGAGACTGACTTGACTTGATATGTGAATTAGCATTTCCTAATAATTAAGTTCACTCTCATTTAGAAACTGCTTAGCAGTAGCTTGAAATCGTTGTTACACAGCTGAACAGGAACTCACCAGAATTTTAGTAACATTTCGTGAAATATATTAAAGAGGTTTTGCGGGTCAGTTCATACCACTTGCAGATTTTAGCTAGCTATTAAGGATCATTCCACAAAACAAGCAATGAGATAACATTGTTAGCTTTCTTTAGTCAGAGCCATTGACTTATGTAAAAAATGAAGTTACCTTCACTTTGAGAGCAAAGATTGAATATTTACAAGACCCTTGTGCTTTCATTTTTGCAAGTGAAACATTATTAATATCAATGTATGCTATCAAACTAAATTTAGCCTGAACAATAATATAAACAGGATGTAGAGTTTTATAATGTAAAATATTAGAACAGATAAAAGTGAATATTTATCAGCATGAAAAATTATTATTCTGATGAGCATGTAGGCACGCTATGACCTAAAAATGACCTAAAAACTACCAACATTATTTAATGCTCAGAGATAACCATCTTTAATGAACAACTGCAGTGCTACTTAAGAATTCATTGCAGTGATAAAAATAAACCATTTATTGTATTTCACAAGCCACTGTGTGACAACTAAGTGCCAGTTATTTGTATAATGTGGAATCATTTTTACTTTTACAATGTCCATTTATTTTGTTCATTTTTGTATAGCAAAATTATTTCAAGCAGCTCTCTCACAGCATCACACTTACAAAAGTAAAAAGAGCTATTTAATTTTCATAACTGTAGTAATGTAAACAGTACTGGAAAATCTCATTACTTAGGACTTCTTATTTCTATAAAAAAAGTTAAAAGGTAACAGACTTGAATACTTGTTTTTCATGTTCCATGATCACTAATTTTGACCTGTCCATAACAAACCATTTCCCTTCTCTGTTTATGTGTTGAGCAATAACAGTGTGCATAACACTGCACAAGATAAGAAGAAAGATATTGCCTCCGCCCTAAAATTGTGGAGAAACTAGAGACTCCAGTGGAGGATAAGGAAAATGGTTAGGGGGTTGGGGGACATAACTTCTGAGGACAGGCTGAAGGAACTGGCTTAATTTAGTCTGGAAAAGAGAAGACTGAAAGGGGATTTAATAGCAGCCTTCAAATCCTTGAAGGGTGTTTCCAAAGAGGATGGAGCTGGACTGTTCTCAGTGGTGGCAGATGACAGAACAAGGAGCAAAGGGCTCAAGTTGCAGCAAGGGAAGTACAGGTTAGGTATTAGGAAAAACTCTCTCACTAAGAGTGTAGTAAAGCACTGGAACAGGTTACCCAGAGAAGTGGTGGTCTCTCCTTTCTTGGAGGTTTTTAAAACCAGGCTAAACAAAGTTTTGGCTGGCATGATATAGTTGGGAATGGTCCTTCTTTGAGCAGGGGGTGGAACTAGATGACCTCCTGAGGTCCCTTCCAACCATAATTTTTTGTGTTCTATGATTATGATCTAAAACAGATACAAATCCAACATAAAAAACACCTGGCTCCAGTCCTACAAAGGGATTCACATATACCAACTCCTCCTCAAAGTCTCGTTATAGTTTCATAGTTGGTAGGGTCAGAAGGGACCTGAGCAGATCATCAAGTCCGACCCCCTGCCATGGCAGGAAAAAGTACTGGGGTCAAACGATCCCGGCAAGGTGTTCATCTAGCCTCCTCTTAAAGACCCCCAGGGTAGGAGCCAGCACCACTTCTCTTGGAAGTTGGTTCCAGATCCTAGCCACCCTGACAGTGAAGTAGCGCCTCCTGATATCTAGCCTGAATCTACCCTCTGCCAGCTTGCGACCGTTATTTCTTGTCACTCTTGGTAGTGCTGGGGGGGAACAGGGACTCCCCCATTCCCTGCTGGTCCCCTCTGACTAGTTTGTAAATGGCCACTAGATCCCTTCTCAGCCTTCTCTTGTGGAGGCTGAACAGGTTCAGGTCCCATAGCCTCTCCTCGTAGGCCCTGCCCTGCTGCCCCCTAATCATGCGGGTGGCCCTCCTCTGGACCTTCTCCATGCTGTCCACATCCCTCCTGAAGTGCGGTGCCCAGAACTGGACACAGTGCTCCAACTGCGGCCTGACCAGTGTTGCACAGAGGAGGAGGATCACCTCCTTGGACCTGCTCGAGATGCATCTGTGGATGCATGACAAGGTGTGGTTGGCCTTCCTGACTGCGTCCCCACACTGTCAGCCCATGTTCATTTTGGCATCAATAATGACTCCAAGATCCTCTTCTGCTTCTGCACTGATGAGAAGGGAGTTCCCCAGCCTGTAGGTATGCTGCTGGTTCTTCCTCCCCAGGTGCAGCACCTTGCACTTGTCACTGTTGAAACCCATCCTGTTCTCACCTGCTCACCCCTGTAACCTGTCCAGGTCCGATTGCAGCCTATTCCTCCCTTCTAGCGTGCCCACTTCTCCCCACATCTTAGTGTCATCTGCGAATTTGAACAGGGTGTTTTTTACCCCCTCCCATCCAAGTTGCTTATGAAGATGTTGAACAGTGCGGGTCCAAGGACTGAGCCCTGAGGGACCCCACTGCCCACATCCCTCCAGGTCGAATAAGACCCGTCCACCACCACTCTTGAGGTACAGCCCTCCAGCCAACTAGTGACCCATCTGACTGTGTAGGTGTTGACACCACAGTCTCCTAGTTTCATTAATTCCAGTTTGGACCTGCACACAAGTGCCCCTTCACACCAGTCAATAGAGAATGTGAGTTGCTACAGCTCCCAGCTACATAGCCTTGACTACAGTATTCAACTATTCATTCTGCAGCTACTCGAGGTTTTAGTTCTAGTGGGCCTCAGTTTAATTCTTGAGGTATTAGCATGATGGAGGCCATCACACAAGAGAATGACTAGAATTGCTTCCAAAGATCAGAGCTTTAGATAGCAGACTTTTTTCTTTACCCAAAATGTCTCAGTGACAGCATTTTGAGTAACAGTGGTAGGACAAAGTGGATTTGATGAGAGAAGGGAGTTTAAAAAAATCAATCCTAATTAAAGGTTGGCAATTAATTCAACAGGGACAGATGCAAGCAACAGCAGCACTGAACAAACTTTGAAGGTCAGAGTGGGAGAACAACCTAAAAAGAATGGCGAGGCATCTATTAGGGATGGCTGATCAGCCTCTGATGTATGCCAACAAAACTGAAAATCTTTCATGCAAACTTTGAACATTACAGAACTTGGAAGTGACTATGTTCTCAGTATCACATCTGATACATAAAATGCATAAGAATCTAGGACTTGCAGTAGCAGGAATTTCAGGAACAGGGCAGTACAAACACCTAGAAGTAGTTTAAGTGCTTGAACAGGCTCAAACAGACAGACAAGCTTTCCAACACTGCAAAAGGGGCTATCTTAACCAATGCAGTTTGTGTGGGTGTTCCAGATTTGCCGCTGTGCGCAGGAGCTTTCCGGCTTGTGGGACAGATGGGTTAATATGCCTTGCAACATTTTAATTTTCACAATCCTTTTGTTCTGCAGTGAGCCCAGTGTTGGTTGTCACAGGTGACAGGAGACTGAACAAGATGCAAATTTTGGGCTTATTTAGAGGTCCCAAGAGTTGCACATGACCTCTTATATATCAATTTAGGGGAATTACATTTTTGATTGCAGCAACAAACACTGGAATGGCTGGTATAATATACAGATCTTTGATCTTGAATCAAATCTCCTTTTCAAATTAAAATATTGGGTTTTACACACTTAAGTCTTTACCACACCTTTGGGAAATGATGTTATGAGGGAAAGGACTCTCTCAATCATCAGTGGAAACAAGGGAATGACAAAATGTAATGTCCTCCTTCATTTCTCTCCTTAAAAGCTGTTCTTTGCTGTGACACCTACAAGGTGGTTAGGCTGTTGTTATACTGAGAATTCTATCATCACCAGGGATCCGGGTTTTCCATTTCCCATGGGAAAACAGGAAAAAAAATGCAGATTTTCCCTTTTAATCAAGGGAAATGTGGATTTTTCATTTTAATGGAGAAACACAGGAATTTTCCAGTTTTGCGAAGAGCTCTCTGCAGGCTGGCAGAGTTCCAGCCTGCAAGGGGCTGGAGGGAGCAAGAGAAGGCCAGGCAGGCAGGGGGTGCCACGTGCATGTGCACGCTTACACATGCACACAGCCACCAGGCAGCCTGGAGAGCAGCTCCCGCAGGTAAGTCTGGCAGTGGGGAGGGGGGTTGAGGCCTCCACAGGGAGGGAGGGAGGTGGGCAGGGCTGAGGCTGGAAGGGCACAACTCCATGCCACCGCCCCTACTGTTGCCACAGAGGCATTGGGCACTTCCCCAAGGCAGCCCAGGCCTTGCAGTGGCAAGGAGCTTCCCCACCCGGCCCCGCTCTGCACTGCTGCAACTGGTCCCACCTGCTGGGTCGTGGAGGCCCTGGGAGGAGGGCAGCAGTGCGGGGAGCCCCGAATCCACAGCAGGCAGTCCACATCTGCCCCCTCCCCCTGACAGGCTCTACTCTGGCTGTGTTGCCTGTGGAAGAGGGGGAGCCAGGCTCCACGCTCTGCTCCATCGGAGCAGCCGCTGCCTCCCACGGGTAGCAGCTGGGGCTCTGGCACTGCTCCGGGGGGGAGGCAGGCAGCTGCAGACCCGGGTCCCTGGCCCCATAGCCATGGCAGCTGGGGGCCCTCTCCAGCAGGCCTGAGAGGACTGTGGGTGGAGAGTGAGGGACACCAGCAGCGCTGTGGGGCTATGGGTGGGGAGTGGCCCCATGTCCTGGGGAGCTAAGAGGGCAGGGGGAACTCTAATTTCCATTATAAAAAATCCAAAATCAAATATCAAAATATATAGGTACTTGGAATTTATTTTATTAGTGATTGAGGCTCTGGTAGGCTTCCAAATTGCATTAAAATTGTAAATAGATCAATAAAACATTGTGTTCAATTGATACCTAGATATATAATGGTGTTTCATTTTAATCATGGATTTGGGGGGTTTTAATCGGAGAATTTGCACGTGTTTTTATCAGAAAATTTACAATTTTTGCAATTTTTACACAGGGAAAGCCCGGATCCCTGATTATCACGCTAACCACTGCTGCCTCACTGTTACTTTGTACACCTCCATCCTTCCTGTATCCATTCACATTTTGTCCTATACTTGGATTGTAAATTCTTGGGAAAAGTACACCTTTGTACACGGTGTCTGTGAAGTACCTAGTACAGTGGTTCTCAACTGTGTTAGACTCCAGGCACCCTCAGAAAATGCCAGCACTTAGTTTTCAATCATTTTCACTACAGAAAAATAATAGAGCAATTCTTTTGTTGCACAAAGACTGTAGAAAGACCACACCAAGGCAGAATGTTTTTAACACCATAGATTCCTATTGGAAATCTCTGTTTATCTTGAGGATCATATTTGCACCAGTAACAGAGCTAACATTGTGTGGCACCCCATGCCACCCTTGAAAGGAATTTCAAGTCACCCCAGCACCATTCACCCTGGTTGATAATCACTGACCTAATACAATGGGTCCCAGGCCAGAACCAGGTGCCCTAGGCCCTACAGCTTTAAAATAAAGTGGGTGCAGCTCCATGGATGTTAAAGAATCCACTTCTAATTTGCAGTTCACTTGCAGAACAAAACCAAACAACAGGGCAAGTTCCCTTTCAGCAGCAGCAAGTTTCTAGGTTACAGGCTTCTGCAGTAATAAAGTACAGCTATATCCTAATCAATGGCCAGTTCCTCTCCACTTAACTGCTGTTATCCTCTTAATGAAGAACCAACCCTCGCTGTGGTCTTCAGGAATTAAAAGTGAGGAAACGAAGCGGTGAAGGAGCAGGTACTGTAGAAACTGAACGAGTGATATAATCATTTCTCCTCCCTGTATGAAGCAGGAATTTACAGCAGTGGTGATGATAAAAATCACATTCAAGGAAAGTATTATTGAGTGGTGGGAATAAAGGCTGGTGAGCCAGAAACAGGGGAGGTGAGCTGTAATCTGTTATTTGAGGACAAATTCATCTGTAGTCTGCCTTTCAAAAGGGGTGAACACCTAATCTCACTGAAGTTCATTTTCTTTTTTTTTTTTTTAAGGATGATAATATTTCCCCCCTCTCATGGTGTTGCTCTATAAAATGCTCTGAAGATAGAAAAGAATAAGAAAACTGCTAAAATTATGTATTTCACTGTGATTTTTTTGTATGGAGAAAATGTTAATTCTGTCTTAGATTTTAGTTATATTAAGAAACTGCATTTCATTTTTTCATTAGAATTTAGTAACCATCAGAGATAAATAGTCAGTACTTATGGAAAAATGTAATATTTCTACAGTATTCAAAAGAAGTGTTCAGCTCTTGAGATCTGAAAATTAGGATGAAAAATATCTATATTACATCAATACAAGTAGTTCTAGATCCTTTCAACAGTGAAGGGATTAATGACGGTTATTTTTTTCATAATTTTCAAGGAACCTGAATATAACTGAACTCTCAGGGGCAAGGAGGAGTTAAATAAATAAAAATCTTCCATGGTTAGAATTTTAATAGAAAATAACTCTGTAATTGCTTGATTCCATCAAAATAATTCCTTCAAAGCAGCTTTTACAGCAACCTATAAACATCTGCTCCCCCAGATGGCTGTTTTACTTCCTCACTTTGCTTTCCTAAGCTTCTTAACATTAAAATTGCAGACTGTATACAGTAATTTCCAGAAGACAGAAGCCACATTTATTTCCCCCACATTTGTTTATCCATTTTATGGTTCTAAGACAGATTTTTTGTAATAAAAGCCTTCTCTATAAGGATGTTTCTGATTTTATCAAAAAATTAGGGGGGGTGGGGGAGAGAGATAATATGTTTTGAGTCAAATTTTAAGGCATTGTAATTTTCTTTAAAGATATCAATAAGGAACATTTCCTAAAACTGAAACCAATAGCCAGGCAGTTCGGAAAAAAATATTATTTTGTAATACATCCAATACAAAGAGAAACAGGATACATCCAAGGAAAGACAGAATGATATACACATCAGAGGTGCCAGTGAATTGTTTAAAAGAGTTGTAAAACAGTATTTTATTAAAAAAAAAACAAACCCCAAAAAACCAAAACCCAGCAGAGACTAACATCATTCTCTGAATTGTATGTATTAACCTCCCAAAGTTAAAGTGAGGGTGTTATTGGAAGGTCAGCTTGTTCAAATTATTTCCCTCTTCCTATTTTCCCAGGTTTAAATGTAGTTAGATGCCCTTCATCTAATCTCATGTTGACATCAGGACAGGTAGGATAAAATGCTTTCATTGACACATAATAGAAATTAAACTGGCTGTTTCTATGCGTTAGTAATTTGTATTTGAGTTCATGATTTTTCAACGTTGTCATGAGATTGCATAAAGGTACAAGAGGGTGGGAGAGAGGTTGGCCCCCACTATAGTATGACATCCTTGTCCTACATCTTCAAAACTTTTAAATGTCTGAGCCCAAGATGGCTTCTTCTCTCCAGTGACAATGACCATGACCTAGCACAGAGCTGTCCAACCTCTAAGAGGCTGGGGGCTGCATGACTGACAGGCTGCACTAGCAGGGGCCACAGGCCTCTGGAGTGTATGCTGTGCATTCCCTCCCCACTTCATTGCATGCTCCCCATCTGCTGCACCACGTGTGCCCCCACTGCACCACATATCCCATCTCACCTTCCCTTTCCCAGCTGTGGGTTACACCACTGCACCATGCCACTTTGGTGCCCTGCGCCATGGACCTCCCCAGCACTGTGGGCTGTGCTACACTGCACCCTCTCACCTCTGGGAAGCCTGGAGGGGTGGTGTGGGGACTCCGGCAGATGCTTTCACCAGAGCATCAAGGGAAGATGAGTAGGAGCCTGGTATAGGCCACACGTGCATCGTAGGCCTGTGCAACATAAGCCATGGGTAAGCTTGGCAGGATTCAATTTTTATTTGTAAACATCAATGCATGATGATTTCACTTCACACTCACAGACCGCTGAAAAAAATTCCCATCGTTAATAATCAGGGGGCAGTAACCGCCACAGAACAAAGGAAAGCAGGCACTGAGCATGGTGGCACTGCGCCCGGGAGCCAGGCAGCAGGTTGACAGCCCAGCAGCACAGCAATTTCCCCTGCATCTGCTGTGTGCGTGTATGTGCACCACCATACCCGTAATATAGCGCAATCCTGAAAATTTAAAATCAATACAAATCAAAATAAATGCTTAAAAACAGAAATCAGTATTATCCAAAATTAGTAAAAATAAAAATCAAATTCTGTCAAGTCTAGTCCTGGGTAGCATGCAATGTCATGACCCAATCTGAGCTTGACCTATGCAGCAATGCTGAAGTTAAGCCTGCACTGTCCAAAGCATGCACTGTCCAAATACAAAAACACTCTGTGTTGTGCGCTGTTGCCAGGCTTAGCCATTTTCAAAAGGCCTAGGCCAAACTGCAGAAATGTGGTTAAGCAGCAGGGCCCAAAGCCTGTTTCTGAGCGACTATAACGCAGACTTTTGTACGTATGACAACTAGCTTGGTCAACAAAGTAAATGAAGCCATCCATATGTCTAGCTAAACACAATTAAACAAAGCACAAGGCCTGAAAGGAAACATTATAAATGTAGTTCATAAATTAAATAATCCAAATACACTATATCATAGCTTTATCTTAAAATTTTAAAAGACGGGACTGATGTAACCTAATATATTAGATGCTATTTTGCTATAATAGATATACCTTTGTTAAATTCCTTAAATAATTTGTAAAAATAAAACAACCTTGTCAGAGAAGACCATAAACTAAGGTAAAGAAGAAATGGGCCAGTGTTTAACAGCATTCCCCAATATGGAAGTAAAGGAGATGAGAAACCCTCCCTTTTACTTTCCCAAGAATATAAATCCGAACTAATAAACACCTTCCAAGTCCACAGGAAATCCGGGTCAATCAGTTCCAAAAGTTTCAAAGACATTTAAACAAACCCAATCAGAGATCATTTATTAGAATAAATAAATTGAAACCAGCCATCTCTAAATTTTGGGCACAGGCTGAAGGGAAATTTAGAGAACTCCACAAATTCAAGAAGATCTGCTGCTGATCTGTGTGCCACCTCTCGAGTTTCCACAAGGGAAGCCTGACCAGTGGGCCTGTTCTCCCCTTGAATTCAAGGCTATGTAAGCATTGTCTTCATTAATACAAATAAGTCTTTATTATTGCATATCCTAATACAGCTTTTGAGATGTGACTGGAACAGTTTCACTGGTCGTCAGTCTCCATACTCCAGTTAAAATTTGAAGTAACACCGAGGGCCACAATTTAACACCTCACAGGCTGCATGCAGTCCTCAGGCCACCAGTCAGACAGCCTTCTATTAACACAAATTGTCACTGTAAACATTCCCCGGAAGAAGCTGACCTAATGAACAGTCAAGCAGTGATGCAAGAACTGCTTGGTACAGTGAGAAGTGCTCCAAGCCCATTTTCCAGTATATTTTACAAATTAATGAATAAGAAATGTTCAAAATGCAGTGAAAAGTCTTTCTCCCACTAACAAATTTATTTTCTTTTTCAAGAGGGAAAGGAACAATTTATGGGAATGACAGTTTCTCTGATCACACATCGCAAAGTTACATGAGGTTGCTAGAACTGTAATTTACGGACAGAATTTATTCTTTTATTTCCATTTGGATTCATACAATCTGACATTCCATTATGTGCAAACTAGTCTATTTCTGATGATCTTGGTGTTATTCAAATTTACTAGACCTGCAAAGTAAATGCATGCCAACTTTACATGCCTCATTTTCAAAAGCTTTCCAAAAACTCACTTCTAATACATCCACAGCAATCTGGATAGTTCAGCATGCAGTTGCTTAACTGGTGTGTGAAAATGAGTGCATACAGAAACTACAGCCAGGCTAGAAATTGGCCTTAAGCTTTTCAAAAAGATACCTGTCAATTTTAACAGGATCAAAAGGAGAAAAAAGTATGTAGTGCAAATTCTGAAGGCCATGGTTTCAAGCCAGCTTCTGAATTTACACATGGCTACTTTGCAGGGACACTATTCCAGCATGCAAAAACCCAGGGTTCATTTGTTTGCGCAGACTGGGTACTTAGAGTCTGGGCAGAAGGTACAACTCTAGCCTTAAATGTCCTCTCCAGCTTCCGTATGTTAGAAAGCAGGTGGTAAGATTCCCCTAACACAGCTGGAAGTTTCAGGGGGAGCTGTTCCCCGGAAACAACCCTCTTCCCCAGAAAACCAAAGATCTTGAAAAGCTGCATTAATCAGATTTAAACAGATCTTAGGAAATAGTGTTCTGTAGTTTCTGTGAACTAGTCAGAATTCCTGTGCCAAGTCCTCAGGGTGATAAGCATCTAGAGTGCCTAGAGAAGTGCTTGTTCACGTTCTAATTAGAACGCTCCAGCTTCACTGCACCATCATGTGTATTAAGTCCCCACACATTTCAAAACAGCCACAGGGGTGCTTTATCTAAGCCTCATTGAATGAGCTTTAGAAAGAGCATCCCATCTCCAATTTGAAACATGCAGGAGCTTAATACACATGACAGTGAGCCATTTTAATTAGATCAGCTGTCTGGAAACTATTAATTAAAATGCCACTCCCCACTACCATGTGTATAGACAGCCATAGATTTCTCACTGACTACCAAGGCAGCTGCATGGTTCATCATCCATGATTTGGCTTAGAATATCAGGCAGTTTTCTCATTGGAACTCAGATAGGTACAGATTCAGCTGAGCCTTCACAAACTCTTTTTTTAGTCAGCTTCCACTTCTCCTGGGGTGCCTACACTTTAAAGTGCATAAAACAAAAACGCAGCTTTACAAGCAAATTGAGGGACTATATAAATGACTGAAGGGGAAAAGTGCTGGGATAGTCATTTTTCATAGTTATGCACTGAAAGAAACTTTTCATAGTCCTTGAACATTCAAGGTCAACACAACATGCGCTGCTTGCTGTATTCATGTTGAATGAAGTGCCCAGTTCACAGAAACTATAAAACATTATTTCCTAGGACCTACTTTAATCTGGAGGAGCACTGCAAGCTAGAACCTGTGATCCTCAGAGGCTATACTTCTTTTTAGAAGTGAGAGGGACTACGATCTGCTCTGTTGTATTCAAGTTAGGTGAGGACCTTCAATTCCTGGTATTTAGCTAGGTTGACCATCAACTCTGAAAAATTTTGGATAAATGTGTCACAAACCATGTTAAAATATAACTGCTCTTCAATTTAGTAAAAATGCTGAATTTACCATCTCCATTCCTGTCACAGTATTTGGTTGGAAAATCACATTTTTCTATTTCACTCCTATAGTCAGTTTGATAAGATATTTTCACTGAGTTACCTGAACTGCTGCTCTCGTTTTTCAGCAACCAATTTTTGCCTTTCTTCTTCTCGCTTCTCTCTCAATAGTTTTAGTCTCTCTCTCATTTTTGCTTGTCTTTCAAGAACAGTTTCTTCCAATGACTCCAACTCTGAAAAATAGCTATTTTCCTCTGCTTCCAGAAGTTCACGAAGTCTAAAATGAAGAAAATATTTCAACAAAAGCCAGCACAATCCTCTCCACTGAATTCAGTTACCTTATTACAAGTGAAATCAGACCTAGGAAATTTTTAGTGGCTCTTGTCCAACAGAACCGTGTTCTGATAGTGTGTGCAAGACAATTAACTACCCTGGTTACCATTCTCTTACCTACCTGGTGACACATGACTTTAGCACACTAGCAAAGTGGTACTTTGTCTCCATGGAGACTTATCCATGTATGAGTTTACAAACAAGAAAAATGGCATTATTAAACATTCACATAAGAGAGAAATCTTGCCAAAAATCTGAATAATTCAGTTCGAACTGAGCCACATACAAAAAAATTCCAAAAAACCAGAATAAACCCCAAAAACCCCAACCAAACAAAGCAACCTTCCCCTTAATTGGTTTTGCATACATTTATAATAATTTTAAATATCATGCTAATCTAATAGAAAATAACCATGTGAGCAATGGTAACTTAGCAATAGCTTTTTAGGCTAACTTTTATTCAAAAGCTCTGTTCCGCACTAGGTGGTGAGAGTGATTTACAGTCCACTCATGCAGTGATAGGAAATGTGGTCAATACCATCCAACTTCTGAAACTGTCTGAGAATACAGCCCTGTGCATTGTTGCCAGCACCACAGCTCTAAAAGATAATGTAACTGTGCTATGCTATGCACTTTTTAAGATGGGGATAATAAATCAAATCTTTGAGATCCAATTAGATCACTAGGCTTGGAATTAATTTACAATTTTATTTTTGGTTTTAGACACTATAGTATTTGAAAAGGATCTGATTGTGCATGATATTAAGATCCAAGTATGATATACTATAGAAGAGTTATAGGTCATTGTGTTAGTTACACCTCTGTAGATATGTGCAAGCATAAATTATTGCATGCTAGTGTAATTTATATGTAAAACAGATACCAACAGAAGGCGCAATACAGGGTAAATAAGTAAGAAAGGGGCTGGCTTGCCTGGAGATGTTTATACAACCCCCTGTTAAGCTGCTTTTCCTGATACAACAGTTTTTATGCTAAGTATCTCACGTTAGCAACTTGTAATCACATGGCCCAAAAGTCATGAGAGAACCTGGAATCAGGAAATCACTGTTTTTAATTCTGGTTCTTACAGGGACACTCTCACTGATCTCGGGCAAACCACTTGCCCTTTTTTATAAAATGAAGATAGCACCATTTATTTACCTCATAAGGGAAATGGTAAGGAGGCAGATATCTATAATATTACTTAGCTTTTCAAATATTAACTATCTTTTAAATGAGATGTCTAGACAGTGATCTGTGTAGTCTTTGCTCTAAGGCCAAAGATTACCAGTGTTGGAATTTACATTTCCTTTTCACACGTGGTCCCTTACAAGTCAGGGTTCAATCCTGATGGAACGGCAATGAAAGGAATTGTACACTACTACTAATTCCACAGTTCTTAACCTATGGGCAGACACTACTCTGAGCCATCAGTCCAACACACCGTGGAATTAATTAAAAATGAAAAATACATATACATTAACTAATGAATGAAGCCATTTGACTACACTGTGAAAAAGTTGTCATAATTTATTGCATCTAAAATATTTCTGGACTAAATTTTCTTATTCTCTATTCTCACCAGGGAAAATATTTTTTTCCAACTGTTTTCCCTGCAATCTGCTCTTGGAATCTAAAAGTTAAATTAATGGTCCTGAACAATCTGGCCTTGTAACAGGAATTTTTAACAATGTTCTTGATGCATAAACCAGAATGCAGTTCACTCCCGTAGCCCTGGAAAGCCAATACAGCTAGTAAGAAGTGCTTGATACTATTTTAGTCATTATACATTATACTCACTCAGGTATGACCTCAAATACATATGCAAGGTACTAGTCCTGCATGAGCGACCACGTTTCGCTCTAGTGTTTGGCACTATAACTATGCAGTCTACTAATTAACTGAGTCAAGGGCAGCTACTCTTTAGCAGTAGAGTCACTGATGAAGACTGGGTTACTACATACGTGGCCACAGACATGCTCACACACAGACAAGAGTTCTGTCAAGTAACACTACAATCACCATTACAGACATAATGTAAAAGATTTATTTAGTACACACATCAATTTTATTTGAAATCTATTTTGTGTGCTTTTAAACATGGAAATGAGAACAAGAACTTGAAATATGTTTAATTTTTGTTTCTATTTCATTTTTTACCTCTCTCTCCTATCCTCAGTCCCTGCCAGGTACTCTTGCATCGTCTCAGCAACCTTCTTCCGTACAGTACTGTGTAGTCTTTTGCATTCATTGTGTTCCTCCCACTGACTGATCTCACGTCCCTTGCTGTGGAGCTTTGCAAACTCCAAGTATTTAAGACGTTCCTCTTCTTTACGTCTGCACGCCAACAGGAAACTTTCAGCTTTATTCGATTTAGGGCCCTTGGCTCTCTGCAAAAGAAGAAATATTTGTAAAGATGGAAATAAAACCATCTTTTCACTTATCAGCAATCCTGCCTAGCTGATCTCCACTCAATGTTCCCCCTTGGAACCCTCAATATTAATCACTCCTGTCCCTGTTTTGTCATTTGTTGTCTCCAGTAACCAGCTGTTATTTGCCCATTTTACATAACCAATAGGTCTGACTAGTTGACTACCAGGTACTGAATAGATATTACCATATTTTCTTATGCACAACATGTACCTTTCACCCCCCCCAAAAAAATTCAGCTGCTGAAACTGGGGTGCACACAGGGTAATAGCAAAGAAATGTGGTAATAGCAGTTTCTCTGCTGCGGAAGGGGGGAGGGGGTGTTAAAGTAGCGCTTCAGTGCTGAATACAGGGCTCACTAGCTGCTGGTTCTGGACATTTTTTCTGTCCTCCACAGAGGCTCCTGCCGCAGAAGCAAGGTGATTTTTTTTCCTTCTTTTTGCCTTTCAGCAACAAGGTAGATATCTTATTCGGGGCACATGGTATGCAAGAAAATGTAGGAATAAGAAGTCCAATGTTATGTGAAAAGATTATAAACTATGCTTCTCAGTAACAGGACACCACAGTAGGAAGAACGAGCTGCTTTATGGGGCAAACAATGGCATGTGGGTGTAGGTATACTGATATCACCAGGGAGAATGCTACACTGGATGGGGCATGACCAACAACAACGACAGTGATCCCAGAGTGGTTTTCACAGCCTGGGTACAATTCACATGACAGGTGTCCACATGGACCCTGGCTACCAGGCCACAGATTTTATTTTACCCTAGTGGGTTTTATTTTAAATGTCAATACATTTTAATGGTAAATACCTCATACTTACACACTGCATTCATGGGCAGATCTAGGACTTTGAAAAATGGGGTGCACAACACATTTTTCTCTATGACGGTGCTCAACTGTGTGGGGGGCAAAGCCAGTGCTGCACCACCAACACCCTGCACCGTTGCCACCTCCAAAGAGCATGGCCAGAGGGGGCGAAGCCACTGCTGCTGGCCTCGTCTCGCCACTCTGGCCCCTAAGTAACTGCTGTCATGGCAGCACTCCATCGTTTTTACTATGTCTGCTGCCAAGACAACCACTCAGAGTGCGAAGAAAGCATTACAGACAGACAGACGGGCAGACTAAGGTTTTTATAATATCAGAATTGGTCCTGTCACTATTGCTGTTCAATGTCCTTCTCTTATTCAGATTTGTAAAACAAAATCTTACCTTCTGGAGCTTTTCAACAATGTCTCCAAGGCTTCACTGTCAGCCATTTTATTAGCTCATGTTAACATTAATTCATTCCCTGATGTTCATAGAACCACACCTGACTTTATGTTTTTTAGCTAGAGTTATAAACAACATGCAGGGCTGTGAAACAGAAGAGACATGGCAGGAAGGGCAAACAGAAAGGAACACTACAGAAAGTGAGACAGTGCGAGCATGTCTACACATGTATTTATGCCATCTTAAATTTACTGCTCAGTAAATTACTGTGCAGTAAGCGGGAATAGGCTGGCATCTACATGCGCAGGTGACCTGGAACTAAATTTAGCAACCTGCCATATGTCCCTGTAGCCACCAGGGGGAACTCCAGCCTCTGGCCACACCGCTGCCAGCACTTGGGACCAGCCTTAGTCCCAAGCTGAAACCGGAGCTGGCTGCCAACACCTAGAACTAATTTTAGTCCCAAATTGAAGCCAGAGCCAGCTGCAGGCACTTGGGACTAACTTTAGTCCCGAATTGAAGCCAAAAGAGGCAGCCAGTCAGGAACCCTGGGGATGGGCCAAGGCCGGCCCCCTAGTGGCTGGGCAGACGCAGTAGGGAGGCCCCCTGGGTTACTGCACAGTAATGCATCTACACGTGTGTTACTGCGCAGTAACTAATCAGGTGTAAATTTGATACCTGCATGATGCAAGAGCAGCTACCCCCACTGCAGGGCTAGCTGCACCCTTGCTCTCAGTCTCCTCCCCTGCAACTAGTATGAATACATCCTGCTGCCACAGCAGCAACCTCTGGGGACTTTTTTAAGTCTCTCAAGTATGTAAGAATCCCCACCTTTGCCTCCCTGCTTAGAGGCACTTCCCTTCCCCTCCCTCACCCTCTCCTCCTGCTGCTACTGCTTCCTTTACTGTCCAGGGGGTGTAGAAGCTTCCAAGGTGCCACTGCCGCTCCAGCTGAGGGACGTGTGTGCTGGGAGATTCAATCTTAGGCTGGATATCCAGAAAAACTTCTTCACTGTGAGAACAGGGAGGTAGTGCAATAGACTGCCTAGGGAAGTTGTGGACTCTGCAGCATTGGAGATGTTCAAGAAGAGGCTGGACAGCCAATGGTCAGGAATGATCTAGACATAGCTATGCCTGTTTTCTACCATGGACATTTCCCATGCTTCTGGGTTTTTCTGGTTCCTATCCCCTCCTCCCTCCCCCCTGCTTTTTTTTTTCTTCTTTACTATGCGTGTCAGGGTGTTTTTAAGCCTCCCAAAAGGCAGTGGGTATTGGTTACAGCTAGGGCTGGGAACTTAGAATCATAGGGTTGGAAGGGACCTCCGCAGGTCATCTCATCCAACCATCTGCTCAAAGCAGGACCAGCCCCAACTAGATCACTGCACCCAGGGCTTTGTCGAGCTGGGCCTTAAAAATCTCCAAGGATGGAGATTCCACCACCTCTCTGGGTGACCCGTTCCAGTGCTTCACTACCCTCCTAGTGAGAAAGTTTTTCCTAATATCTAACGTAAACCTCCCTTGCTGCAACTTGAGACCGTTGCTCCTTGTTCTGTCATCTGCCCCCACTGAGAACAGTCCAGCTCCATCCTCTTCAGAACCCCCTTCAGGTAGCTGAAGGCTGCTGTCAAATCCCCTCTCAGTCTTCTCTTCTCTAGACTCAATAAGCCCAGTTCCCTCAGCCTCTCCTTGTAAGTCATGTGCTCCAGCCCCAAAACAATTTTTGTTGCCCTCTGCTGAACTCTCTCCAATTTCTCCACATCCTTTCTGTAGTGGGGGGGGGGGCCCAAAACTGGACACAGGACTCCACATGGGGCCTCACCAGTGCTGAATTGAGGGGAATAATCACTTCCCTTCGCCTGCTGGCAACACACCTACCAATGCAGCCCAGGATGCCATTAGCCTTCTTGGCGATAAGGGCACACTGCCGCCTCGTGTTCAGTTTATTGTCCACTGTCACCCCCCCAGGTCCTTTTCTGCAGAGGTGCTGCACTGCCCATCAGCCCCCAGCCTGTCCCGGTGCATGGGGGTGTGCCATCCTCAGTGCAGGGCTTTGCACTTGTCCTTGTTGAACCTCATGAGATTTTTTTTGGTCCAATCCTCCCATTTGTCTACGTTACTCTGAATCCCAGCCCTACCCCGCAGTATATCTACTACCCCCGCAGCTTGGTGTCATCTGCAGACTTGCTGAGGGTGCACTTCATCCCATCTTCCAGGTCGCTGATGAAGACATTGAACCAAACCAGCCCCAGGACCGACCCCTGGGGCACTGCACTGGATACCGGCTGCCAACGAGACATCGAGCCATTGGTCTCTACCCATTGAACCCGATGCTCCGGCCAGTTTTCTACCCACCAGACAGCCCGCACCTCCTCAGCTTGCCTGCGAGAAGGCTGTGGGAGGCCGGATCAAAATCCCTGCTCAAGTCAAGGTATCCATGGCTCTCCCCACACCCACAGCGCCACTCCCCCATCACAGAGAGCAATGACGTGGGTCAGCGTGCCTGGAGCCAGGCCGGACAGCCATGGCTAGGGGGTCTCCCCGCCTCAGGGTCAGCCCCGTTTCACCGCACGGTCAGTCTGGTGCAGCCCGTGGGGGTTTCATCCTTGCCCTGCCCCCACGGACCCCGCGGTGACACGAGGGGAAGGGGGGGGGGTCACTGCTCACCAGCGCTACGGAGTGCGGCGTGGGGCCCGACACCTCCCGCGGCCGCCGGCTCCACAGCTGCTCCATCGCCGCGGCCCCGCCGCCGGCACTTCCGGGACGCGCTGCTCGTCGCCACGGCAACGAGGAGCGGCGGAAGGGACGTC